ATATAAGCTTCCACATCCAAATGCTAAAGACAAATGTTTCACCAACCATTTTCATGGCAATTACACAATTAATGTTTCAAAGACATCCAAATAAATTATCCAACATGTCTAGATAAATAGGAGTGTAACCATCTAATGTAGCATTTAATGCTTTAGGTAGTCCATCCATGTGGTCATCTCCTAAGCAAAGATCCTACTCTTGTTTATCTTTGGTCCTTGCAATATATCAAACATATGAGAACCAACTTAGAGGTATCATATACCTTTAATATATAAAGTAGAATTACTTAGCAAATGGTACCTGAATCAGAAACTTCAATAAGATTCTTTTTCTTGCTCACAGTAGCTAGGTACTCCTTGCAGTTCCTTTTCCAATGCCCAATTTTGCCACAATGATGGCAAATATCTTTCTCTTTGTCCTTTTTGACACCTTCTTTAGGCTTCAGCACCTTCTCATTTTGGGATTTTACCTTCTTCCCCTTTTGGGCTTTCTTCTTTTGTTGCTTTGTATGAGCCTTAGAAGAAGAAACAAAAAACAATGATCCTTTATCTTTCCTGATAGACCTCTCTGTCATGTCTAGCATATTCAAAAGTTTAGGAAGAATGGCTTACAATCGATTCATATGGAAGTTCAACACGAACTGACTAAAGTTGTCAAGAAGAGGTTGTAGAACAAAGTCTATACTTAGCTCATGATCCATTACTAATCCCAATTGTCCAAGTCTCTCGATGAGTCCAATCATCTTCAGCACATGGGGTCTAACAGAACTGCCTTCTGCCATCTTGCATCGAAATAGTTCTTTAGAGATCTCATATCTCTCAGTGTACCCCTCTTTATCGAACAGTTCTCTAAGGTGAAGAATCATGGATTGGACATCCATGTGTTCATGTTGCTTTTGGAGCTCTGCTTGATCATTGTCATCCTTATGACGTTGATATGCCTCCTTATCCTCTCCACTAGCATCAGCAATAGGGACTGGTGGAATGGGAGTGTCAAGGACATAAGATTTCTTTTCTTGTTCCAAGATAATCTTGAGGTTCCGAAACCAATCGAGGAAGTTTGGGCCAGTAAGTTTATTTGCATCCAAGATGCTCCACAGTGACAAATTATTAGCCATGTATATAAATTATGCCTAAATAGATAAAATAAAGCAATAAGTAAACATCATGCATAAACTATTTAAAACAAGGTTTTAAAATTTTAAACAGATCTCTCACTATTTTTTACAAGATGATAACCCTCCATATCACCTTGAAAGATCTCTACTAAGATTCCCTTAGTGCGCTAGGATCCCATCCATCTAGTCATGGCCTTGAGTGTGCTCAACAAACTATGAT